CTTAAATTATCTCTTCCCCGTAAGTTGTGGTGTGTAACGAAGGTTCTCAACCTTCACCCTGTTGTAAGGAGAGATTTTACGAGTATTATCTATTTGCCTCAAAGTTTACTTCTATTTTTCAAATATTCGCTTTGACCATGTTTAGCAATTTCAGTGAATTTGCATTAATCTTTCAGCTCGTGCCATCTTATTGTCCTTTCGTTTCAGTTGCTTTCTCAGGTTCGCTTAAGTAATATAATCGTAGAAAGCGAACAGTGTTCCTTAACAGACAAAACTAATTGCTCCTTACTGTTTTCAATTTTTCAATTGTGCACGTTTTACTTTAATGTCGACCTTTCAAACAAAAATTAGTTTTCTGAATGATGGTTATTTACCTTTAATCTATTTTTCGTGATTTTACAGCCAGACGCCATCGATTATTCATATAGTAACGCGGCTTTGGCACAATTTAGCAATGTTTATTTCTCAATATATATTTCATTAAATTGTAAGTTAAATAGAGGCAACAGCCAAGTTTTGAATATGAAAAGTTTTGCTGACTTGCAAATTTGAAATAGATCTGTTTTTATTTTAAGGTCAAATGTAGCAATTTGTCTGCGCTTCTTCCTGTTTAAACAGCCGCTGGAACTTGCAATTTTATCCATATTGTAATGCTTTGTACATAATCGCTGTTTTGCTGACCTAGTACTTCTATACTTCATAAAAGAGCAACAGTAACAAAAGAATTTAGGTTAAAAATAGATTTCACATTTAGTTTCATTTAACTCTAAGCGATTTTTGTTTTTATTTCTATTGTTCTCTTTTGTCTTTAATGTTTGTAGAAATCATATATAAGTAAGTTAGTTTTTACTTACTACTTCACCGTGTATAACCTGAGTTATTGCCAGTTGAAGAATAAATGCTGTTGGATCCAAAATTCAGTTCTGTTTTATCTGCGGCTGTACCAGTTAGTGGTTTAATCCCTGTCATATAAATAGAGAAGTGATGGCTCTTCCCCTACGGGTGGTTCTGCCTTATATAAGCCATACAGATATTGCCGCCTCAGTTCCCCAAAGGGTATGGTTTTTGCGCCGTTTCGGTCTGAAAACGGGCATAGATTTTACCCGTTTTGATCTGGAATTGAGTATGGTTTTCGAGGGAGCTACGTACCGGAGTGTATGAACCTATTTGTCGTTTTAATTCCAAATGAATAAGGGAGAAAGATAATATGCGAATACGAAATAGATTTTGAGAAATCTTTTTGTTGGTGTTCTTGAATCTAAGTAATTTCAGGTCTGAAAATGGGTCTGGATTTTTAGAGATTAGTTCTGAAAACGGGCGTGGATAATAACATTTTTTAATCTTAAATAGGGTCGGGAATTGGAGAACGGGGCGGCACACCCCCACCAAGGTTTCCCAGAGGTACCTCCGGGGGCTCTTCCACGCAACCGAGTTGCCATTTGAGTCTAGTTTCCCCCAGTTTTATCGAGAGTTAAGCGCCAAGTTCCCGCTAAGCCTTTAATTCGTTTCAAACTGGAAAAACCTTTCATCATACTATTAAAAGTAAGACTAAATATCGAGGCCCAAACACGAATGAAATGAAACCCTATTTTGAACCGGAAACCGATAACGTAAAATTGCTTAAGCAAGTCTTTCATATTTCGATTCTTCATTTTTTAAAAAAAAATAATAAAGAAAAGGATTGAAGGTGTTTTTCTCCTGCTCATCATATCTCTTTGCGCAGACCCCATTACCGGAACGCCTGAAACAGGCTAGATTGTAGAGTAAACTTTGTTAATTCGTTCTGTCGACACCGTATTATAAACAGGTACTGAAGATGTTTGAATTGCTGCCCCCTTGAGGCAAAACTGTTAAATAAGTGCTCCCAAACCCCACCCCTCAAGGAAAGAAAATCGCTGATTATACCCGGTAGATAAGTAGAATAGAAAGTTTTCGATAAAGAAGACCTGAGAAGCCAAATGAACTTTGAGAGCGACCACACACAGATCAGTCTGTTTTTCAATTAGTTTACTGTTACAATTTGTGTTTAATGATAATGCTATTACTGTGCGTACCCCCTCAAATAAGCGCCCCCCCCTCTCCACTCAGAAGCAACCACGTCAGCAACGGCAGCGAAAACGTCTTTTTAAAAGTTAATTATCATTAGTAGTGATAGGTCAGCAAAGATATACGTTGTTAGTGTCTAGCAAGGTCTAGCTAGGTCTAGTCAATGACGTCACCTCATGAGCAAAACATATGTGCCTAGTAAAAGTCTAGTCACTGCCTTCGTGCATAGTATTAAGTGCGTTCCTCAATATTAATTAAGTGCCTTCCTCCATATCTAATAAGCGTCTCTCTTATACAATAGGAACAATAGGCTTGCCTAGACTTGCCCTCTCTATACCCACCTGATTGGATAGGTGGTGGGGTGGATGTTTTTTTTTTAAGGTTTTTGTAAGATAGCCGCTTGTGTTAATTTAGGTGTTACGTTGAAGGGGTTGAATCTTGTGAACTTGATGTTAAGTCTGGATTGGAACTTAAAGTATCGCTTTAGTTAGCTTTTTCATCGTTCCGAAGATCGTTTCGAGAAAGCACATCATCCATGTTGCTCTGTATCTCTTGCACAGCTGGAAGAAGTGGGACAGGCGATTTTGCCGCTGTAGATATTTTAGAAGCTCTCGAGGAATATTTTCTTTAAACCCGCTTGGTTAAAACCTTCTTCACTGGGCAGGACTAGTGTTTGTTCGCAGCCGACAATTATCTTGGGTAGTAGTTTCCAGATCAATCTGCAGCTAACCAAAAGGTCTTTTTGCAGCCTCTTCGTACTGTTTAAAAAGAAATCGGTTTGCCCAGGATACATTTGCTTGGCCAGAGTCAAGATTTGCAATTTGTCTCGTGGATTCTTGAATAGCACCAAAAAATGACTGTTCAGGCTTATGCTGCGACTACCTTAATAATCAACCATAAGAGGACACAAAAAATCTGTGATCCAGATTTTTTCTGTGTCCTCTTATGGTTTATTCTTTACATCTCCCTTTATTTCCTTTATAATATTAATATCAGTGGCATAGGTTGGTTGGTTGGAAATAGATTCTGTACGATATAAATCACGCTTAAATTTCAACGATGAGAACTACGAGTAAGGAGCTGAGGTTCACAATTCGCTTGTCTTTACTAGCGTCAATCATCTGGTCATCAAACACAATCAAATTCCGTTTGTTCTCATCAAAATAGGAATCCTGCTCCAAAGCCGTATAGCCTTGACGAATTCAATGTGTGGCATGGCGACTAGCATTTCTGTACACGCAGGCTGCCATTATGAATAACACCAAACGATCCTCTCCGAGCGAAGGTAAATTGCTTCTGAAGCTTGTTGCAATAGAGATAGAACCCAGGCCGTTTTTCGGGACACGGTCATTCCGGCAATCAGGCAGGTAAGAGGATGCTCGAAGCGCAACCGCTGACATTTCTGTGAAGACATTGCAACTGTTTGAAATGGAGTGAGACCAAGATTGCGGCGTTTAGAAGTCACGAACCTTTGCATATTATCTTTTCTACTAAAGGATTTTTCTCAGATAGAACAGAACCAATTCATGTCAACTCCTCAGGAGAAGAATATAGACTGAGAAAAAGGTAGAATGTTTCTCATTTATGTAGGTTTTCAGGCCATAAATTCTATTGTTGTCCCTCCTCCTCCTCCTCCTCCTCTTCATTTCTATTGTTTTCTCTCCTCCTCCTCCAAAAGGATCGAAGCTCTGGGAATGAGAATGGGTTGCCGCGCGAGTAGCAATGTGACATTTGACATCGGCTTACATGTAGGGGGTACTTACGGACGAACGGTCACTTGATAACCAAAATTTCTCGGATCTATTTAATAAGTAGATTCCATGTTGCCATGCGTCTGTCTGTTCAGTGATAGATCACAGATGACGTTAAAATGTGGTAAAATCAAAGAAGTGGCACACGAATCGCAGGCGAGTGTGTCAATGATGTTTTTACCACAAGAGACTATAAAGGGGACAGAGAGGGCATCCCCCATATACACCCTATTCCATAGGTAATTCGTCTCGAGTTATTTTAACACCACAGATCTCAAGGGGGATAAGACAACAGCCAATCACATAGCGCGAATTTGTTCCGCGTGGATGACCCACGCTGAGAGCCACGCGTCCTTCACGAAATGACGCAGAACAAAATGGGGGAAGACGCGGAGAGCGATTTTGCTATTCCTTTTGTCGACGAAAACGACTACAGCGAGATTTCTGCGAAAGCTGTGTCAGCGAAACCGAAATTAAAAAAGAATCGCCCTTCCTTTCTTGTATAGAGCTAACAGTAGAGCGGGGAAATCCTTAACACACTGAATATTCTCTCAGGATCATTTATAATTTACAGTTTGAAGAGAGCAATTTCTGGTTTGATGTTTATTTTTTTCAGTCTTTATGGCGATTATTCCTACCCACTTACTTTGTCAATTGTAGGCGAACCCTCCGAAAGCTGAATTTCAAGGGACCATATTCAAGCTCAGAAAGAGAAATAAAATTTCGTCGTTGCTTATTTACGTCCTCCATAAAACGCGAAATTAGGCATTTTCACGTCGTAGTCGTGCAAAAACCGGAAAGAAATGAACAAAAAAGTGTGTTGCACGCGCGAAGTTGTTGTTTTGCTAATTAAACCTATGTTTTTTTGACGTTCTAGTTGTCGTCCGCGTCGTTGGATCTTAAACTCCCTAAATTGTACAAACGACCGGTTTCAATAGACCGGCGAATTTTCTCATTTTATTAAAGCACTGAGGTTACGACAACTTCGAGTTAAACTGATTTCACGGGTTGTCAAAGAGTCCAGCGACTCCTTTTTCCCAGGTGAGCGCCGACTCATTTCGCTTCAATATTCAGGAATGCTCTCGATCTTTTTACGCTTTCATTGCCTCTCGCCCGACATGTTTTGCACGGCGTTTGGTCATCCGAAACCTCCACGAAACATCCACGCCTCGCGCGAGGTAACTTTATCCCGATTCTAAAAAT